AGGAGGGCATTCTGTGAATATCACCTCTTCCTTTTCAAAGAGATGCTCAGGAGGGGGTTTCCTGGTGGCCTAGTGGTTAGGATTCCGGGGACTGCCTTGGCCCAGGTTCAATCCCTGGTTGAGGAACTGAGATCCTACAAGCCTTGAAGTGTGGCCAAAAAGAGAGAGAGAGAGAGAGATGCCCAGGGGCTCCCACGCAGCCCTGCAAGTGTCAGAGGCACTGACTCAGAGATTTGGGTCAGGAGGCAGAGGGGTGGGAGGGTGGAGAGGGGCGGCCCTGCCCACTCTGACAGTAGCAAGTATATTTTCTTGTGGTCTTTGCTCTCTGAGCATTTGATTGTGATGATCGAGCACAGAATGCTTTCAAAAGCATAGTTAACGCAGTGTTGCTCACAGGTTCGAGAAGAAATATATTTTTTTTGAAGAAGGGCAGGGACAGGCAATGCTTGCCAATGGGTGTTTATAATTAATCATTCCCCATTAAAAAAGAATAGTGACTCAGTTTTAAAGATTCAGAAAACCATTACTCAAGTTCCTTGGCAGAGGAAGTGACCATTATGTCGCTCCTCAAGATCTGCTTTAGCAGAAGAGAAAAAAAGTCTTTTTATTTGCGATTTCTCTGAGCTGCCCAGATACTCTGGCCATTGTTCGTGAATTCAGGGACAGAACAGCCCCTGCTATTGTTCAAGCTGGTGTTAAGAGCTTCCATCTGAACTGGGAGTAAGGCAAGTGACCAGAGAAACGTCTTTCTTGGAACTGACAAAGGCAGAAGCAGAAAAGAGTCCCTTCTGGTTCTAGGCTCCTAGTTTTCTTCCTCAGCATCTCCTGGTTGTGACAAGCTGGCTCTTCTGGTCTGTAGTATAGGGCCTGCCCACTGCACAACATGAGGAATACGACATAGACCACTGTGTCCTGTGTGACAGGGGCTCTTGGAAGTTTTCACTGTGGAGAGTCTGACCCTGTGGGGACCTCTTTGGCCCCCTATATTGAACATTTATTAAGCATGTACTGAGTTCTCTGATGAGTGTTACCTAGAGTTCACAGTCTCGTATTCATGATTGGGGATGGAGACCTATATATAGTTAAAGACAGTGCCGTGTGGAAAGCACCAAGGCAAGCTCATCCTGCCATGGTCCTTGACCCTTGCTTGGACTTCCGAGCACTTTTGAAAGTCTATTGTGTGTTGGTTCCTTGTGAATTTCAATTTCCGCTCATCAACTGATGGAGGGATGCTGTAAGCACTGCACAGCGGGGCCACCCACCAGAAGACTGTTCTACTTTGACAGTGTCTCCATCTTTTTTGTTTGTTTGTTTTTGGCTACACCGAGAAGCTTGGTTCAATCCCTGGTGCCCCGTGCAGTGGAAGTGCAAAGTCCTAACCACTGAACCAGCAGGGAATTCCTGACAGTGTTTCCATTGTTGTTCCTACAGCGTTGGTAATTTTTTCATGAACTTGACATCCATGTTCAGTTATGTTCTTTAGCTGCTTTATCAAGTAGAAAATGGAGAAGTGAAAGTATTGATATAGTGGTTCAAAGTGTTGATGGGTCTTTTAAACCTCATTCAGGCACAGATGGAATTCAGTATGTGGACTGGACGTGGCTGGCCATAAGCTCCATCAGGTGCACGCCAGATTCTAATGGTTTGGACTGTGTGTCAGTTATGAAGGAAAAGGACATGTGTGACATACACACACACACTGGGACCAGCAGTGTTACTCAGGGAAATTCTTGGGCAAATGCGCCAAGAGCCACATTGGAGAAATTTGATAGCACACTCTTTAGTATAGCAGAACACTGGAAATGACCTAAAACCTCCCTCAGCAGGAGAATGATATCGTTGGCCAGTGGAATATTACACAGCAGTGAAAACAAATAACTGTAGCTGCACGAATCATAGAAACATAATGAAGGACAGAAGCATGTCACAGAAGACTATCTACAATCTATATAAATTTCAAATATCACACAAAGTTGAGAACAATTTAGGGATCCACGAATAGCGAATCTGAACCTATTTTTTAAAGAGCGGGAGTGGACTTCCCTGGTGGTGGGAAGTGGATAAGAATCCACCTGCCAATGCAGGGGATGGAGGTCTGATCGTTGGTCTGGGAAGATTCCACCTGCTGAGGAGCAGCTGAGCCCGTGTGCCACCCCTCTAGAGCCTGTGCTCTGCAACAAGAGAAGCCACTGCGATGAGAAGCCAGTGCACCGAAATGAAGAGTAGCCCCCGCTCACTGCAACTGGAGAAAGCCCGCACAAAGCAACGAAGACCCAGTGTAGCCAAAAATATATAAAAACACATTTTAAAAAGTAAAAGTGAGAGAGTGATATGCCCCAAATGTAACACTGGATGAGCAGGGAGACTGGGGAATTCAGAAGCACGGAAGGAACGTCAGAGCCAGTGATGCCAGTGGTTTGGTTGGCAGGAGCTCAGGGGTGTTTCATGCTTTGTAACTTTCTTGTACATTACACATATAATTTTGCATGTGTTCAGTATCATAGACCACATTTAAAAATGATATTTGAAATGCTAAAAATACACTACTAAAGATTATGTGTGAAAAAAAAATAAAGATTATGTGTGAAAGGTGTACTTGGGGCTTCTTATACCTTTTTTAAGCCCTGTGGGCATGGAGGTAACCTCAGTCACTGGACTTGGTCTTCTAGGGACTGTGATGTTCAGGGGAGCCCTGGATTCTCTGTTCCAGTTCTCCAGGAGTGAATTCATCTTACGTGTCTTATCCTTGAGGCCGGGGTCTCCCTACTGCCTAACTACATCCTCTTCACTGGTGCCTGGCTCTGGGGCCTCTTCAAATGTTCGTTGGATGTAGGTCATTTGGCCCATAGTGGGGGAAGGTGAGGCAGAGGGTGTAAGGAACCTGCCCACACTTGCTCGGCTGCATGCTGAGATGTAACCATTTTTCTCACCCAAAGCCCAAGGCTCTGGTAGTGAAGAGAAAGAAACCTTAGGTGATAGGCTGCTATCCTGTCCTTGTATGTGTCCCTTATCTGCCAGTCTTGGGGCAGAGGGTGCCACGGTTGGGATCTCAGGCTCCAAGCGATCAGGTGAGAAGGAAGCTTGAAGGGAGTCTGTATAGGCGGAGAAGGTATTGCTGTCCCCTCCACCTCCCCCCCCCCACATTTATTTATTTATTTGACTGTGCCAGGTATTAGCTGTGGCACACAGGATCTTCAGTTGTGGCTTGCAAATTCTTGTAGGATCTAGTTCCTTGACCAGGGATTAAACTCGGCTTCCCTCCATCGGGTGTGCAGTCTTAGCCACTAGACCACCAGGGAAATCCCCAGTCACTGTCCCTTTTGTGGCCACGTCCCTGGTTCCTGGACTCTGGCCGGGGTCTGTCTAGACAGCCAGCCCAGCTGGCTTTGGGAGGTGTCGTCTTCTTGGAAGTCAGTTATCCTTAGTCCCTCCTCTCTGACAGCTGCCTTGGCGGGAGGAAGGACATCGGCCAAGAGTGAGATTAAGAGTGCCTCCTAAGCAAGAAAGCTTTGCAGGTTGGGGGGAACACTGTTGCTGAGCCTTTTTGAAATCTTTGACCAGAAATTGCTTCTGTTTGCTAATAAATGACCACACATTTGGTTAGAAGGACCAAGTGTGCTTAACATGAAAACTTGCTGTTTTCCCTGGCTTCAGTTTCCTTAGCTGGTTAGACTAATTTAAATCTTAGATGCTGTGAATCTGTTTAACCTATGAAAGTGTTAGTCGCTCAGTTGTGTCTGACTCTTTGTGATCCCATGGACTGTAACCCACCAGGCTCCTCTGTCCATGGGATTCCCCAGGCAAGAATACTGGAGTGGGTTGCCATGCCCTTGGGTTGCCAGGGGATCTTCCCAACCCAGGGATCGAACCAGGGTCTCCTGCATTGCAAGTGGATTCTTTACTGTCTGAGCCACAGAGAAACCCCTTAACCTATACTTAAAAAAAAATGTTTGTTTGTTCCTTTAATCTTTAATATCCTTGCCTTGAATAGCATTAATGATATTTTTTCAAGGGAGTGCATTTCTTTTCTTTTACTTTCCAATGTTGTCCCTAGAATAAAAATAACATGGCCTTAAATGGTCTGATAGATAGGTGGAGGTGGAGGGAGCACTGAACAGAGCTGGAAGACCTGGTTTGCATCTCGGCTGTGTCGATAAGTTACTGGTGATCTTGGACTAGTCTCCTGATTCCTTGGTGCCTTGCTTACTGTCTGTAAAATGGGCCACTTACCACGGAGACCCTGGGATTCTGAGACTTCATATGTACTCATGCATCCCACTGGGCTCCTGGCCTTCATCCTTACGTTCATTTACACATGCATCAAGTGCTCAGTGGGCCACTGCTGGGTTCCAGGCAATGATCTAGTCACCAAAATATATCAGAGAACGAAACAGAGTACCTACTCTTGTGGCACTTGGAGCCCTGAAGTGAAGATGGATATGAAATTGGTAATTAGAAGGCAGCATGTGAGAGGTCATGTGGTGAGGGAGGTAGAATGGGGGCCTAAAGCAGCTGAGGGAAGGCCTGTGGGGAAGCGACATACAGGCTGAGAGGGGCCACAGGAGGAGGTGGCTTGCGGGTCGGGGTGGGAGGGCGGTGAGTGTGAGCAGAGCACGGGAGCCTGTGGGTGAGGGGCTCCATCCCGGCTAAGGCTGAGTGGGCTAGGTGAGGGTTCAGAGGTCAGCAGGGGGCAGGTGGTGGAAAGCCCTGTGGGCTGGCCTCTAAACTTGCACTTCCTGCTGTGGACAATGGCAGGCCCTTGCAGGGGCTGCCAATCAAAGGAGCGGGGTGACCAGATAGCCTCTTTGGGAGGCTCAGTGGAGCGGCTGGGTGGAGATGGCCCAGGTGGGGGCTGGGAGGCCGTTCCTATAACCCAGGAAGGGGTGATGGTGGCCTGGTCCAGATGTTTAGCACCGGAACCTTCTGTGGCTTCCCAAATTGGAAATGAGGTCCCTTGCTCAGGTTGCTGCGGTCTTACCCGGTGTCTTCTCCCCTGGCAGAGGTGGCGAGCGACATGCTGACCAGCGTGCCAGGGGCCAGTGTCACCCTGACCTGCCCAGGTGGGGGACCAGAGGACAATGCCACAGTTCACTGGGTGCTCAGGAATCAGATGACAGGCTCGCACCACGGCAGACCGGCTGGCGTGGGAAGGCGACTGCTTCTGCAGTCCGTGCAGCTCAGCGACTCCGGAAACTATTCATGCTACTGGGAAGGCCACCCAGCCGGGAGCGTGCGCTTGGTGGTGGATGGTGAGTGGCGTCCTCAGAGCTCCCAGCATGGCTTCGCGTGTTCCAGGGAGAGATGCCCCACTTGACCCTTTAAATTCCTGTCATTTTCTTGGCCCAAGCATTTCGGGGAAAGGCCCAGTGACGCCTGCCAGTGAGGCTGGCCAAGCTTCCAGCTGGGTGGGGGTGGCTGGCTGAAGGAGATGCTGTCTCTCCGGTCTTGCTGGGTGCTTAGGGGTTGAGGGTCCGGGGACAAGGGGCCTGGGTTTGAATCCTCCTCCTTCACAGCTTAACTTCTCTGCTCCTCAGTTCCCTTGTTGGTAAAATAAGGTTCATTTTTTTAACCTAGTTCAGGTTTATTGTAAAGATTAAATGAGTGTGTGTGCATGCACACATATGGTGTTAAAAACTCTGGCACATAGTAAGCTCTCAAACAAATTATTCTTATTGTGAGAATTAGCAGGTTCCTAGCTCCCTCATATCTCATAAGACACCCTAGAGTCAGATGCCCCGTGTGCCAGGCCCTGTGCTGAGGGACTTTCATTCTTGGTGTCTTGCATCATCCCCCCAATGTCCCAGTGAGAGAAAACAGTATTATTATGATCATTTTTCAATCATTTAATTTTGTAGTAGAAAACTGAAGGGAGATTGGGACTTGCCCACACAACCAGTGTAACTCCAAAGCCCCGATTTTTTTTTCTGTCAGTCGTGCTCCCCTTTAGGCAAGTTAGCCCCCCAGGTGTCTCCCCTCACTGCCCACCTCCTAGCCCGACAGGAGGACTTTGGTGTCCTTTCATTTCCCAGCCCAGTAAGATCTGTGCGTGGCTGTTGGCTGTAGTGAAGGCTGGCACCAGGGCAGGGTGGGGTGGCAGGGCTGAGCTGAGAGCCCCCTCAGAAGGGAGGTGAGCCAGAAAGGAGGTGAAATGTGCTACCTTCTCAGCCTCTGTTCTTTCCTTCCAGTTCCCCCAGAGAAGCCCCAGCTCTCCTGCTTCCAGAAGAGCCCCCTCAGTAGGGTGAACTGTGAGTGGAGTCCTCGGAGCCCTCCATCCCTGACCACCAAGGCTGTGTTGCTGGTGAGAAAGATGTAAGTATCTTGGCTGGGCAGTGTGTCTGTCTCCTCCATCCTTCCTGAAGCTCCAGGAGTGATGGGGAGGGGGGGAGCTCTCAGAGGACCCCGGTGGGACTGGCTGACCAGTGATTCCCACATGTTACTGGAAAGTAATACTTTGGCCACCTGATGGGAAGAGCTGACTCAATGGAAAAGCCGCTGATGCTGGGAAAGATTGAAGGCAGGAGGAGAAGGGGACGACAGAGGATGAGATGGTTGGATGGCATCACTGACTCAATGGACATGAGTTTCAGCAAACTCCAGGAGATGTAAACGACAGGGAACCCTGGTGTGCTGCAGTCCATGGGGTCCCAAAGAGTCAGACACGATTGAGCGATTGAACAACAAGGACTTTAAACTGAGGAGAAGGGAATGAGGGTGACTTCACCAGGAGAGCACATCTTGTGCTGGTCACGGCGCTGCACTATTTGTCCTATCCACACAATAGCCAGGGTGGAGGGGTGGGAGATATTTTTCTCCTCAACGGATGGAGGAACTGTGGACCACAGAAACTGATTCGTTTGCTTAAGGTCATCCAGCTAGTAAGTAGCTGCCAGGAATCAAACCGCAGTCTATCTCATTTCATTCAAAATACAAAGGTTTTGGGTGTTGCTCTTAAGAAGACACAGATGTCCTTGGGTGGGGAAGGGCAACTCCTGATCAGTCCTGACAGTGAGCTTATCAGGTTTTTCCATCATAATGGTGGGTGAGAGTAAGTGGTGATAGATGGGGAGAGGGAGCTGGGGGCAGTGGGGCGGGAAGTCACACTTGGTTCGTGGTCCCTGTGGCACCAGAAGATGGCCCTGTCAGATGCGGTTCCTTGCTCGGTCATTTGTCGTAGTAAAAGAGTTAAAATGACAGACTAGAAAGCTTACTCAGGCAGGACTTATTAAACAAGGGGCATGGCAAAATGCACTCCCAAGATGTGAGAGTGGACGGACCCCATAGGAGTGGTGCTGCCCTATTTTAAGTTTTTCTTTTACGTCCTTGTTCCCTCCCCAAAGCCGTCCTCCGTGTCTGATTTGTTTTGCCCGTGTCAAACAGGGCTTGTATCCAAGATCAACTAGAGAAGCGGGCATGTTGGGCATGTTTTTTTCTTGCCAAAGCTCCTGGCTGTAAGTTTTCCCTTCGTTCTGTTTTTCATGGGCTTTTAAATTTCTTTGTCTGCCTTTTAACTGCTGCTTTTTAACTGCCACTTTGGACACTTTACCTAACAGCACATTGACAGATGAATGGATACAGAAATTGTGGTACACATTTACAGTGGAATATTACTCAGCTCTAACAGCATGAAGTGGAATGAGTTCAGGCATGGATGTGGAGCAGGTGGACGATCACACCTCTGCAGTTTTCTCTGTTTCTATCCCAGAGCCAAGGTCCCATTGAGTGCTCACTCCATCGTGTCTGACTCTGTGCGACCCTTTGGACGGTAGCCCACCAGGTTCCCCTGTCCATGGGATTCTCCAGGCAAGAATACTGGAGTGGGTTGCCATGCCCTCCTCCAAGGGATCTTCCTCACCCAGGGATTGAACCCACATCTCCAGCATTGGCAGGCAGATTCTTTGCCACTGTGACATCTGGGAAGTCCAAAGGTCCCCTTTGTCTAGATGTTTATCACTGAGTTTGAGCTGGCAATCATCAGAGTACCGAAAAATTTAAGCAGTGATGTCATCAGGGTGTTTTGGTCTGCACTTGTGCCTGTCTCCAGAGAGTCACCTGGCGTTGACATTTGTGTTTTGGTCTCTGCACAGATATGTATAGATTGCCCGTCTGCACATGACGCAGCTGCCATTAGGACTGATGGCTCACGCTCCTAGTCGGGGAGGGTCAGGAATCTCCACAACCTGAAGCTGAGTTAGGATATAAATTGTCTGGGACCTGGAAGGCATTTCTGCTTAGGTGAGACGTTCCGTAGTGGCCAGCAGCTGCCCAGACCAGCCCAGGGAAAGCTTATTCAATTGACACTTGGACTAGAAGACTTGTGGTGTGTTGACAGAGTGCAAGAGGACAGGGCACTTTGGTTCACAGCCTCCTCCTGACAGCAGCCTCAGGCACATGTACCCGCCTCTCCTGGGCTGTCTACACTGGAGTGAGGAAGGGGGAATGGGGAGCCCTTGCGAGACCCTCAGTTTCCCCCCAGAACCCACTCAGGCCCATCCTGGGACTGTGAGGGTGAAACACAAAGAGGTTTTGTGTGTTCTGCTCTTTTTCCTCGTGTGTGTGCCTGTGGTCACACCGTCGCCCCACTGCACGTGCTTGCTCACTCTCTCTGTAAGTGTGTGTCAAGTTCAGCATCTGCCGTGGTTGGGTGCTCTACTAGGCTGAAGGAGAGACAGGAGGCAAACAAGACTGGGCCCCTGGACTTCCCTGGCAGAATCCGCGGTTCCAGTGCAGGGGGTGCAGGTTAGACCCCTGGTTGGGGAACTGAGATCCCACATGATGTGCTGCGTGAGCCAAAAAAAAAAAGACTGGCCCTTGCTCTTAGGGCTTCCCTGGTGGCTGAGACAATAAAGAATCTGCCTGCAGTGCTGGAGATCAGGTTCCATCCCTGGGTTGGGAAGATCCCCTGGAGAAGGGAGTGGCAACCCTCTGCAGTATGCTTGCTTGGTGAATTCCACGAACAGAGGAGTCTGGAGGGCTACAGTCCATGGGGTCGCAGAGTCAGACATGACTAAGTGATTAACACACATTGCTCTTAGGCCCCACAGATTGTAGGAGACACACCACAGTCCTGTGGGATGGATGCCTGGGTGATGGCGGAGGGAGGAGAGGGAGGCCCTAACTCGGACTGGGAAGGTGGGGGCAGGCGTCTAAGAAGAAAAGAGTTTGTCCTGGGCCTAGGGTTCAGACTCAAATCAGAGGTTGATGGTTGATTTGTCCTGTGGCAGTGAGGTGGTTGGCTGCCCTGGCCTCACAGGCCCATACATGTCATACCGTGGGTGAAGTCTCAGGCTTCCAGACTAGGTGGGACAGTGTCTGACTCAACTCTGATATCTCTATCACCCAGAAATCCTTTCTGGGCTCACCTGCCAGAAACACTCCCATCATCTTGCAAACCCCTCCAGCACTTCGAGCTTCTGGAATGGCATTCCACTGGCTGTCCTAGTCCCCTGAGGGCAGGTCTTTTTTGTTAGTGTCTTGGGGCCGGGGTGGGGCCTCTTGGTTCCTTTCTGCATCCCCCGCGGTGGCCTGAGCACAGGGCCTGGCAGAGAGCCTGAATGCACGGCCTCTGTGATGCCACGGCGATTGAGTTCGCCCTCTAGTTCAGCCCCTTTGGCGGCGGTGCCAGGGGCTAAGCTAGATGCCTTACACTCATTTTTCAGCTAATCCTAAGAAGGCCCTGTGAGGCGGGTACTGTTAACATTACCATTTTCGAGGGAGAAAACAGAGGCTTGGAGAGGCTGGAGGATTTACACAAGACCCCAAGGGCTACTCAGTGTGTGGAGCGGAGATCGCCACCCCCGGGGCTGAGACCCCAGAGCCTCGGCGTCTCACCACGGCCCCCTGCTCAGCCCGGTCCCGGGTAAGTGCCGCAGCTGACAGCGAGCCGCCCTTGCTTTGTCTCCGCAGTCCGGGGCAAAACTTCCAGGAGCCGTGCCAGTACTCCCCCGAGGCCCAGCGCTTCTCCTGCCAGCTGGCTGTCCCTGAGGGAGACAGCTCTTTCTACGTAGTGTCCCTGTGTGTCGCCAACAGTGCCGGGAGCGGGTCCAGCAACCCCCTAACATTTGAGGGCTACGAACTCCGTGAGTGAGCTCTTTAGGCCTCCCTCTGCCCTTCAGCTCTTTCTTTAATTTAATGTTCCTCATGCACTTTTTGGAGTGGCCTGGTGAAGGGTTTGGAGAGCTGGTAAAGCCTTTCGTGCTGTACTTGCCTGGGGTCTGACTGTGGCAGGGGTGTGGGGGGGACGTGGTCGGGGGTTGGAGGTGGGGTCCTGCCTGCTGGGGGCCTGCCGTCTTCCCGGGTCCCTCCTTTGCACCGCGCTTGCCGCCGCACAGGAGCCGCGCTCCCTTTTCCCACAGTGCAGCCCGACCCACCCGTCAACATCACGGTCCGCGCCGTGGACGGAAGCCCCCGCTGGCTCAGTGTCACCTGGCAAGACCCCCCCTCCTGGAACTCATATTTCTACAGGCTACACTTTGAGCTCCGATACCGGACTGAACAGTCGAAGACATTCACAACACTGATGGTAAATTTTTCTTTTCCTCTTGGACAGTAAAGAGTCCTTAGATACTCAGGGGGTGGTAGAATGGGTACTAGAAAGAAAAAAGTGAGTTTTGGGTCCTGGTAAGCTGCTCACTACCTGCATGGCCTTTCCGAAGTCCCGGAACCTTTCTGAGCCTTGGCTGCCTTACTTATAAAGTGGGAATAATAATGCCAAGCCAATTTCCTCTTTATGGGCCAATTTCTGAGGGTGAGAGTGTGACCTGAGGGGAGAAATGGGCTGCCTGCAAGTCAAGGGTGTGCTTGCAGGTTTCTGTGGTGCCTGGGGGCAGGGGTAGTGACTTAGCTTCTGCTCCTGCTGGCCCCGAGGGCAACTTCACCTGTTGTGAGCCTCCTGCCCAGCTGAGTTGTCCACTGGGCCTGAAAGAGGGAGTACCTGAAGGACTGGGGGTGTCTGAGAACTCCAAGGCCCCTGTGGAGCTAACAGGTGCCGCTTAGGTTCCACCCCAGAGGCCATTGTGCCTCTCACCCACAGATCAAGGATCTCCAGTATCACTGCATCATCCATGATGCCTGGAGTGGCATGAGGCATGTGGTGCAGCTTCGGGCCCAGGAGGAATTTAGGAATGGCTTGTGGAGCGAGTGGAGCCCCGAGGTCACCGGCATCCCTTGGACAGGTATGTGATAACTGAGCGTGTCAGCTTTGTTATTATATCAATTGTCTGTTGCTGTGTAAAAAGTCTTCCCAAGTGGTGCTAGTGGTAAAGAACCTGCCTGCCAGTGCAGGAGATGTAAGAGACACAAGTTCGATCCCTGGGTTAGAAAGATTCCCTGGAAGAGGGCATGGCACCCACTCCCGTATTCTTGCCTGGAGAATCCCATGGACAGAAGAGCCTGGTGGGCTATAGTCCATAGGGTTGCAAATAAGTTAGACATGACTGAAGCAACTTAGGATGGATGTAACAAGTCCAACTTCCCTCGTGGCACAGTGGTAAAGAATCCGCCTACAATGCAGGGGATGCAGGTTTGATGCCTAGGTTGAGAAGATCCCCTGGAGAAGGAAATGGCAACCCACTCCAGTGTTCTTGCCTGGATAATCCCATGGAGAGAGGACAGGCCATGGGGTTGCAAAAGATTTGGACATGACTTAGCAGCTAAACAACAACCACCATTTATCTGCTCAAGATTTTGAAAAATGGTCAGCTGGGCAGCTCTTGTGCCTGTCTGGCCTGAATGAGAAAGTAGCTGCATCAGGCCTGCACTGTCCAAGACGGCCTCAGTTCACCACGTCTGATGGTCGACCCTGGCTGGTGGAGGGGGCCCTCGGGTCTCCTTGAGGTCTGTCATCTTCCAGCAGATTGGCCTAGACTCAAGAGGGGAGATTCACTCCACAACTTAATGGGAAGAATGGTGAAGAACTTGTAGCTATATCTAATTTACCATAGTTACTAATGCTTTTTACTTAAAAAAAATTGTTAAAGGTAATAATGATCATTTGTGAGTAATTACTGTGATTAGTGAAAAATTCCAGGAAAATACAAAGAATAATTATTCCCGGTATTCTGATCACCTAGAGAAAACCAGTGAGAACATTTTACTATACTTCTTTCCTTTTCTAGGTATATTTATATGTGTTTATGTATTTATATATCAAATTTCATGAGTATTCCCATGTAATTAAATATTTTTGGAAAATGTATTGTTTAGCAACTGCATGACTAATGTTTTTTTTTTAACCCATGGGAATTATTTTTTTAACTTTTAAAACTTTTATCAAATTAATACATGCTCACGGCAAAGAAGCAGAAAAGGGCTTATAATAATAACCAGTGTCTCTTGACCCACCCCTTCCCATTTTCAGCCCTGCTTGCTACAGGAAGCTGTTTTTAGTTCTTCTGTCCCCTCCTCTCCAAACAACAAACTAACATGGCTGTGTTTTTTTTCCCCAAGAAAATAATATGAGACATTATCTTTTCACTCCATGAAATATTAGGATTTAATAGACCTACATCCAGTGCAGGAATCTCCCTGATTACAAACCAAACAGTGGTAGCCCAGCCTCTGCTTAAATGCTTCCAGAGATGGAGAGCTCATTAGCAGCCCATTCCACTGTTCCCAGTGTTCTTATTGTAGAATAGTTTCCAGGTTTGCTTCTGTGTCAGATCTCTTTAGCCCTGCAGTATAACTGGACCAAATTAGTTGTTCTTAAATACTAGGCAGTTAAAAAATAATAGGGACTTCCCTGGCGGTCCAGTGGTTAAGACACCACACTTTTGAGTACAGGAGACTAGGATTTGATCAGGGAACTAAGATCCCACTTGTCACATGACACAGCAAAGAAGAAAAAAAATTTTTTTATTGAGTATGTATGGATAAAAAAGAGAGGACAGAAATGATATAAGTTGTCCAGACCCAGCCCATTCTTCTGTCTTCTGCCACTTTTCTGTCGCTGGCTTGCAGGAGACCTATATATAGGCTGGCCTTCTTCCCCCAGAATGGATGCTGTGATGAGATGGCCTTTCCTCTGCCCTGGCTTTGCAGTATGTAGTCTTTGTCCTTCCTGTCCTGGGAGAGCCAGAGGAGTGGGCTTGGGGCTTAGGGTGTCTTCTGAGTTGGATGCAGGCAGTGTCAAGTGCAGGCTCAAGCAGAGTCAGGTGCTGCTGTCCCCTCTTCTGCCCATCAAGAGCAGGAAGCAGCTTTCTATTGGACCCTATCCTCAAAAGTTTATTTCCTGATAAGACCTGGACAAGAAAGGAAGTCTAACTACTCTATCCTACTTAGAAAGGTCATTTAAATAAATCAGAACATCCTTCAGGCTAGATTGTGTTGATCTGTCCATAGTTGTCTTTGGTTTGTATATACTTTGAGCCAAAACATGCTGAATACCAAACACTAATATGGCCTTAGGAGCCTTTGCGAGGGGAGTGAATCATTTATAACATTGTGTGGTGGAAATGTTCTGGATACAGGCTGCACCTGTTTACCTTTTATCCCAAGCACTTAATTTGGATGGTCACAGATAGCTTTAGAAAATCTTGTTTTGTTAGAAAGTTCTTTCTTTCTTTGTTTTTTAAAAGTTGTGGTAAAACACAAATAACTTACAACTTACTATTTTAAAGCATGTGGTTCAGTGGCATTAAACATTTCACATTGTTGTGCCACCTTGACCACCATCCAGCTCCAGAACGCTTTCCATCTTGCAGAACTGAAACTCTATACTTGTTAAATAGTAACTTCCCATTTATCCCTACCTCCAGTGCCTGGCAACCACTGCTTTACTTTCTGTCTCTATGAGTGTGACTGCTCTTAAGTACTTCATGTGGGTGGAACCATACTGTATTTGTCTTTTTTGACTAGTTTGTATTACTTAGAATAACTTTCTCAAGATTCATCCTTGTTGTAACCTGTGTCAGAATTTCCTTCCCTTTTAAGGCTGAATAATATTCCACTGTATGTATATACCATAATTTGTTTATCCATTCATCCGTAGATGGACATGACTTGCTTCCACTTTTTGACTGTCATGAATAATGCTGCTATGAACATGGCTGTACAAATATGTTTTGATATCTGCTTTCGGTTCTTTGGAATATATACCCAGATGCATAGTTGCTATACCATATGGTAATTCTATTGTAATTTTTTGAAGGACTGCACCTTTGTACATTCCTACATTCCTATCAGCAATGTGCAGGCTTTTATTTTTTTCATATCCTTGTCAACACTTAGTATTTTCTTCCTTTCTTCTTCCCTTCTGTTTCTTTACTTCTTTCTTAATACCTCTCCTTATGGGTGTGGTATTGTGGAGTTTTCTTTTAATTGGAGGATAATTGCTTTACAAAGTTGTGTTAGCTTTTGCTGTACAACAACAACGTGAATCAGCTCTAAGTATACATATATTCCCTCCCTCTTGAGCCTCCTTCCCACCCCCACCCCTGTCTCATCCCTTTAGGTCATCACAGAGCATTGAGCTGGGTTCCTTTGCTCCACAGCCGCTTCCGCTGGCTATCTATTTCACAATGGTAGTCTATATACGTCAATGCTACTGTCTGTTTGTCCCACACCCTCCTTCCCCCACTGTGTCCACAATGGTATTGTGGTTTAGATTTGCATTTCCATAATAAGTAGTGGTGTTGAGGATCTTTTCATGTGTTTACTGGCTATTTGTATATCTTTTTGGGAGAACTATCTATTCAAGTAGAAAATTCTTTCTCATGTGAACCCAACTCTGGTCTCACTGGGCCTTGGTCTCCAGGGTAATCCCTGATAAGTCTGCTAGTCCGCTCTCTCTGAATGCTTCTGGAATTTCCAGGGGACTGGCATCTGCTTGTGCTTCTGTTCCCAGGCTGTTAAAATGGGATGGCTTGTGGATTCCTTACCTGTCTGGTGACCTTCCCTCAAAGCTGGTCTCATCTGTGGTTGTTCCTCTTTAAATTGTTGTATTCTCCGGCCAGTGGAGGACGGTGCGGTAGGCACATGTCTTTGACTGTTCAACCTCAGGTCCTGTGTTTCTGTGACTTGCTACAGTGATCACGTAAGCTCAGACAGAACTCTCTTGACCACTTCTCACATAAGCAGCTGAAGGGTTTGAGCTCCTATTCTGTATCTGTGTGGGTTTTGAGGGGAAGGTCTTCAAAACCCCAGTGGTGAATATAGCCAAGGGAGGAAACCAGCTGCTCCCCTTTCCACTGAGGGCAGAGCAAGAGGAACCTGGATTATTCCCAGGCAAGAGGGGTTTAGGTTGGAAATTGGGGAGCGCTTCTGGAAAATGAGAGGGAGGTTATGTATGTTTTACTGAGGTTACATATGTTTTAGAGTTATTTGACTGTTTGGGACATATTAGTACACTAGATACTACATTGATGGGCTTTCTAGCCCCAAAGACCTGCCTCCATCCCTAAAGCCCAGACAGGTAGGATGCCCCTGACTAGGTGTGGAGGTCCTGACACAGAGGCCAAGAGAAGTACAGTGGACCAGGAAATCGGGTTGTATGACCTTGGTAAGGTTAGTTTACCTCTCAGAGCCTCAGTCTTCTGTAAAATGGAGATGACGTGACCTGTCTTGTCCTCTTTGGAGAGTTTTTATGAATTTAGAGAGTAAAACATTTCTTAAGAGATAATAACTAGTACTGCAAATGTAGGAGGATTAGTAATTTGAGTGCAGTGTTGATTGGTTCTTGGCCCCGGAAGTATCCCATGTGCTGCGGAGCGATTAAGCCTGTGGGCCACAACTGTTGAGGCCAAGGCTCTTGGGATAAAGAGAGCGGGGCTGTGGACATCCTAGAACTGCCGCCCTGGATACAGTCCTGGACTCATTGAATCGGAATGTAGAGGGGAATGTGAAATGGGTGTTTGAAAAGGCTTTCCCAGTGATAGAATGTGCGGGGGGTGGGCTGGGGGAGGGGCTGGCGTAGCATCCCACTGTAATTGATAAGGCTGTGGTGCAGACCACAGTCCGGGCAGTTTAGAAAGAGCAAGAAGAGCTTCATGGAGGAAGTGACGTTTGCGTTATGTCTTGGAGGGTGTTGTAGGGGTTTCCCAAGTAGAGAATGGGGATTATAGGCAGCGGGAACAGCACGTGCAAGGACATGGGCTGTGCGCAAACGCAGGGCGGTTTGGCCCGGCTGGAGCACAGGTGTGTGGGTGGGATGTCCGAGTGGGGCCGGGGTGGGGGAAGG